GCTGTGGGAGGGCGGTTGTCGCCAGTGTCATTGTGGACTGGTTAAGTGGGTGTGACCAAAAGCCTTCTCGCAGCCCTTCCGCCAATAACGCTCGCAACAACTGCCCACAGACTTTGAGCGCTCTAACTTCTGCGGTCCTTTTTGCTATGAGATTGTTAGAGCAAGACAACAGCACTGTCTCGCAACATAAGCTCAACAAGTGATTGTGCAGCTCAAGGAAACTTCCACTATTGCTCTGGATGGAAGTCGCATGTGCGTTGCATTCTGCAAAGGCCCCTTACATAGCATTCCATCCAATCCACATTGATCCATAGAGTACTTTTCAAGGGGAATACTAATCAAGTCGTACAAGATTCTTACCAGAAGTATTTCAGATCTTTATCGCATCTCTTCCCTACATAATCATCTCTATGTTATCGATTTTATACGTAATTGGAGGAGCCACTGCGTTTTCACTCATTGACGATTCAATCTCCAAAAATGATTTCGCTAGCAGATGCTTCTTTGTATTTTCTACTCTTACCACAATTGGTTGGTCCGGACGGGTCTTCACCTCAAAATTGAGTTCCGCCTGGTCAAATATTTTCAGGTTATGGTAATGTCAGTCCTGGGAATTCGCTCAGCAAAACTTTTTGTATGTTCTACGTAAGCGTCGGTATTCCACTTCTACTATTGGCGCTCGCAAATATTGGACAGTTATTCGCTGAACTTTATTGGACAATCACTCTGAGTGTTTTCAGTGATTTGGTTGGTCTTTTCTTATAATTAGCCGGTGGATGTGTAGGTCGTTCAATATGGACAACTAGTTTTCTATCATATGGAAACGAACGAACGACTGACTCCAACAATGCGGGGTAACTTGAACTCACAGGGGCCTTTGTCGCGACACAAATGCCGATTGAACCTCGACGTTGCTGCCCTCCTAGCGCCCGCTAGGCCACATAGCATTGCTAGGCGGTTCCGGATCCCTCCTGCCAAAGTGGGCACATTCCCCAGGGATCTTCCTGGGGAGCCGCTGGGTTCCCGTGACAAGGACCACACCTGGGACCACATTACTGAGAGAGATTGAGGGAACACTAACCTTATGCAGTACAAGAGCACGTAATGCCTGCTAGCGCTTGTGATGACCCCCATGCTCTGGTGTTCATATTTCCTCAGGCTACAAAAAATACACATGCATCACATAACACATTGAAACATACCCCTGTCCATATACGGCGGCATAATGTTTATTGTTTGGTCCGTGGTCAGACTCCTGCAGTGTGTGAGTCCGTATAACGTCGGGGAGAGTTTTTTTTCTTTAACGGACCCAACAGCCGCGAGCAAGTTCCGCAGGAAGGCTGAGCACCGATATACAGGGGTGGCCAAAAAAAAGTCACTTTGCCTCATTGACTTTCGAGGCGCTATAAATTACACTTTATCAAATTCTGATCGGACATTTTTACTACCATATTGAAGAGCACATTAAGTACTATCACGACACTCCGCCACAGCCTTCTGGACGAACGCCATCGAGAGATTCTGGCACGCGACCGCGATGTGGTACCTGAGATCAGCGAAGTAGTCGATTTCTCCGCCACCGTAGACCACCCTCTTGAAGTCCGCCCGAGCTAGGTAATTGAGTGGGTTCAGGTCAGGGGACATACTTCAATATTACATCTTCTTCAGGTACGAAACGCCCTTCCATTCGAAGTAGGCGGGAGTTTTTCCAAAACCCTTTGATTCCATGTGGTGGCACCCAAACCTGTAGCAGCACAAGGTCTCCAAGAAGGTACGGGCGACCACATGTAGGGAGGATATTCTTCTCGAGTTACTTGATGTAACCGCCAGCGCTCACCTTCAGTCGGGGTCTACAAAGAAAATATCGGTCTTCCCCTTTCCAGGTACCCCGGTCCATACCATCAACTCGCGCCTCGGCGAATACGGTGAAGATGATGTCCTAGACCGTAGCGAAGTTGAGGAAGCTGCTCGATGTGGGAGGTCTTGCAGATCAAGAGTACTGACCTCCAGGTAGCTATCTGTGGATGACTTCATTCAAGAAGTTTCGCAGCTGTTTGGAGGCGACGTGAATTCCAAAGGTGTTCTCCAGTCAGGCCGCGACTGGAGATGACTTCATATTTTGGCGTACATGAAGGCGATTGGCGGCAGCCTGCTCCAGCTTATAGAGGAAGATCTTGGGTATCTTCCACTCTGGTACTCATATCCACTTCCCCTGTCTGGGCTGCGAAAACTTCGTTGATATGTGACTTGGTCAAAGTGACTTTTTTTTTTGGCCACCCCCTGTACATGCAGCCATAGCGAGGGTATCCGTGTCGTACTCTAGCTTTAATCACGCCCTACAATCATACAGTTTGTTGCTCTGAAGTCTCCTGCGGAGCCTGGGCAAGGCCAAGAACTTGCTTGCGCCTGTTGCCTGATGTGTCGAGACATGAATCGGTTAGTGCGACACCACCTGAGCAAGCTTGCGTTAACACCCTTATGTGACAACTTTCTGGCGCGAAAGTGGCTCATGATTATATTTATTGTTGGCCCACACTGCCTTGTCGCCACGGATCTTCGTTTTTGAGCCACGCAAAATGTCCATTGATGAGCTGACTACTTACAAAGTATCTGCGCCGTTGTCTGTTGAATCGACATTCTTTCATGTTTTTGAGGTAATACCTACCCTTTTCTGACTAATGATCACGAAGTCTTTCAAATCTTATCAATCATCACCTTTCCATAAACGACCAGCAGTTGTTTGGACTACGGAGAGTTTAATGAACAATCAGGTTTCAGTGAAAAAATGGTGCAATTCTTCATTTTGATGCAAAATTAGTCGAAGTGGAGTGGACTGTGTTACCATCATACATTTATCGCGAAATTTTCTTTAGCTTATTATTTTAAGCGTTTGGCTGACGCGCAATACTGCGCGCATGGTTAACACGTTCGATGCGGCATGTACTCTCCGGAGTTTACGAAAAAATTCTTTCGGCGAATCGTGTGCTCCGGGAGTACAGCGCCCGTTCTCTTGTTTTTTGTGAATTTTTCATTTTTCAGCTACAATTAGGTACAAGTGATAATGCAGACAATAAAGAACACGCTCCAGGAGGTTTGCACTCCGGAAGAGCGCATGAAAACTCCTCTTTTAGACAATTAAAAACTCTTTGGACCATTTGT